CTTTTCGATGGGGGCATATCGCCTTTCGTGGGGCCCCATTGTTTTGCTTACGTAGTAGACTGGCCTCTCTTCTCCCCCAGGCGCCTCTCTTGATACTATCACCTCGCTAACTGCCGTCTCCGAAACCGCGATGTACAAGTTCAACACCTCGTCCGCTTTGGGCGCTGTCATAACTGTAGGCGCCGCCAAAAGACGCTTCAACTCCTCAAATTCTTCACTGCACGCCTCATCCCATTTGAAGCGGACTGCCTTTTTTAGCACCCTGAAGAATGGGACTGCCTTATCAGCCGATCTTGGGATGAAGCGCCCCAACGCAGCGAGTCTCCCGGCCAAGCCTTGCACTTCTTTGGGCGTCCTCGGCGGTGTGAGTTTGATGATAGCATCCACCTTCTTTGGATTGGCTTCTATCCCCCTTTTTGTAATCATGAAGCCCAGAAACTTGCCCGCTTCCGCGCCGAAGACGCACTTGAGGGGGTTGAGCCGAAGGTTGTGCAGGCGCATGGTCTCGAATGTCTCCCTTAAATCATACAGGTGATCATCCCGCTTACGGATCTTGACTATCAAGTCGTCAACATACGCTTCCACATTTCGTCCGATCTGTCGTTGGAAGACTGTATTCACCATACATTGGTAAGTGGCGCTCGCGTTCTTTAATCCAAACGCCATGACCCTATAGCAAAAGTTTCTGAAGGGTGTCATGAACGTTGTCTTCAACCGGTCCTCCTCGGCCATGGGGATCTGATGGTATCCTGAGAACATGCCGAGAAAGCTGAGCATCTCATGATAGGCAGTGACATCCACTAGTAGATCGATGCGGGGCATCGGGTATGCATCCGTTGGACACGCCCTATTGAGACTTGTGAAATTAACGCACATTCTCCAGTCTCCTGTCGGCTTCGGGACGAATACCACATTGGATAGCCATGTCACATAAGCTGATTCTTCCACCAAATCGGCGTCAAGGAGCTTATCCACCTCCACCCTGAGCATAGCCTCCTTCTCCTGAGATAGGTTCCTCCTCTTTTGCTGAACAGACTTCTTTCCTACCTCTACTGCCAACTTATGGACCACCGTCCCAGGTGACACCCCGGGCATCTCCTTAGCGCTCCATGCGAACAGCTCCGCAAACTCCCTTAACAAGGTGACCAATTTCTCTACCATCTCCGGAGGCGCTTGGACCGAAATCCTTACTTTCCTTTCCGGTCGATCCTCATCAAGGGGAATCATCAACTCCTCATCGGCCGCCTCAGCCCTGGGCGCCTCCTCGGTTGCAACTATGTTCACCCTTTGATTCGTCCGTGGCCGCGCATTCTTCAACGGGGCGTAAATTGGGGCGCCTCTTCCCCCGGCATTGCCCACTCCCTGTGGCACTATGAACTTCAACGTCTGATGGCAAGTAGACGCCACCCCATTAAACAGGACTAAAAGAGGCCTTCCGAGGATCGCGTTGTAAAGAGACGGGCAATCCACGATACCGACATCAATAGCATGCGTGACCCGCTGTTCCTCGTCGCCCAAGGTGACGGGGAGGCGCACGCGCCCGATGACCTTTGCAGGCGCACCCAATAATCCTATATTAGCACCGAGTCCGACGGTCGTATCAGGTCAGGGGACAAATACATGCGGGTCACCATGTCCTTGAACAAGCTCGAACGGAGGCGGGGGCAAATCCTCCTTAGGTTCCGTACATGCGGCGTACGCTCTGTGAACCTTCTCTTCTTGTTTTTTGACAAACTCATTGAGCATGCCTCTGTCCACCAACCCTTGCAACTCGGTTTTCAGCTAATAACTATCAACCGTATTATGCCCACGCTCCCGATGGAAGTCGCAATATCGATCCAAATTATGCGGATTGGATTGCCCCCTCATGGGCCCTTGCCACCTCACATGATACCCCTTATCCTTCACATACTGTAGCACATTCTTCGGCGAGTAATTAAGCTCTGTGAACGGGTTCGCCCTAGGCACCGGGCGCCCCTGATCGTTCCTTCTTATCGATCCGAAAGGCACCCCTCCATAGGCTGGCTTGGACTCGGGCCCCTGTCTTCGCGCCACGTCTCCTTCCTCACCCCTTGAGCGGCGCCTATCTGCCCTTCTTGCCGCCAGCGTCTCCTCTAACACAATAACTTTTTGCACCCTTCGATCCAAGTCCTCCGTGGATACCATGTCTTTTTTAGATAGCGCCCGGCAAAGCTCTTCACTCGTGGTGCACTCTTCCAGAATGACCCCAAGCACCGGGGGGTGTACATCTCTCATTGCCATCGCCACTGGGATCCAGCGCTCGTAGAACTCTCTCAAGGTTTCTCCCTCTTTTCGCTTGATTTTGAACAGGGCGCCTACGGTCAGTGTACGGCGCTTCCTGCTCGCAAAATTTTCCAAAAACATTGCCGCGAATTCCTCGAAACATTTTATGCGCCCCTCCTCGATTGGATGGTACCAGTCTAGGACCACGCCCGCGAAGGTTGATGGGAACACCTTGCACAAGGTCACGTCCGTACTGTTATACAACTGCATTTTGGTGAAGTAGCTGTTCAAGTGATCATCCGGATCCGCCGTACCATCATAGGTGGGAAGTGGTGGAATGTTGGTACTTGCGGGCTCAGTGAGCACGCTCCTTGCCAATGGCTGCCTTACCACGAACTGGCGAAGTGGGCACCCCTGCATCCACACGTCCTTTTCCCCCTCGAAGTCTCCATAGTCGGCCAGGCGTCTCATGCTTGCTAGGCGCCTTAGTGAACTGGACTCCCCCTAAGCCTCCGACGTCCTCTCCCTTTTCCTCGTCATTGGACTAGGCGCCCCCTCCTTCAACATCTCTACCTAACTCCGGAGCATCTCGATGGCTTCATCCTGATCAGCTATGATTCTGAACAAGTCCTTCTTAGTGATAGAGGCGTCATCAGAACTCGGGTGCCGATCTTCACTTCCTTCGTCCTCATTTCTACTGGGCGTCCGCTCCCTGGTAGACCATTAATTACACATGTTTTTACCCCTATTCTTTAGCCGTTTGAGACATTGATTCTCGTGTTTTAAACCGATTTCACGCTAGGTTGTGCGTTTATGTCATATGAAACGTCCCGACCTTTTTCGAAAATCAAACCACAACTCAAGCCCAAAAACCGGTTACTCCGGAGCAACCCAAACCACATTTTGAAATAAACAACTGACATTACTTAAGAACTTTAAACGAAAAGCCCCAACACTTGGGCAAAATCTCAAACTCAAACACTCAAAACGACTTAACACAGAATCTTGAACCTGGAATCTCCAATACATATACTCATACTCATAATCATAAAATAACTTCCAAATTGTAACTCTAACTCTTCACCCAGCTCCTTGACATCTCACCAGTACTGGTACGGCCGCTCGCCTCATCTTACTTCTTCTCGGGATCCACTTCCGCTAACCCAACCTCAACCTGGTGAGTGAGAAGGGGTCAGTCTCGTCGTTACTTCCTAAGGTCTTTGCCTAAGCAAACTCCTTACTAGAACACGTTATTAGCGTTTCCTTTCCTTAGATGAAAGTCATTCTCACTTTCATCCTTAATAACTCATTTCAACTTTAACTCATAGAGGTTCTCAACTTTTATCCTTAAATCATAGAAGTTCTCTACTACTACCTTAACTTATATACTTATTACTAGGGAATCACCGCGTTACGTATCGCCGTCCGGTGTCCCTATCCTCAAGGCAATGGTACTGCGTTACGTATCGCCGTCCAGTCCATGCCCGGTCAACTACTGCGTTACGTATCGCCGTCCAGTAGTGACCCGACCATCTACCGCGTCCAGTAGTGGCCCAACCGCCCGGGGGTTCAATTATCATCAACCATACACATAAACACACACATGCATAGCACAACGCGTGCTTCCACCTTAAGTAGGCGGTGGGATGCCTCACACACACAATCGCGCTTACTTGAAAATTAAATAACATAACTGAATTAAAAAGGCATAAACTGAAAGACCTCGACGGAGATTTTACCCCCTTTACACTCACCTTATTATTCGAATCGATTGGCTCGAATTCACTGAAGTCGTTCTCTTCAATCTCCATTCCTTCTCTAGTAATGTGATCTCGTACTCCTCTTTCCCTAAAAAAAACATTCATGTACCCCCTAAAATGATCACAAAGTCACCCATATAACATCCTATATTGTTATACCGTGTCTATTTATCTAAAACTTCAAAGTAGATGGTCCAGTTTGTGAATCCCCACATTGAAATAGCTCTGCTTTAGTCCCTAAGCCTCGTTAGCTTAATACCAGTACCCGTAGCCACTTAGGTGTGCACCGTGAAAGATAAGTGATCTAGTCTAATTCCAATACCCACTTTCAAACCCATATAATCATGGTATTCATTTAAAGAGGATCTTCCATGTTAAGCATACTCCATTCACGTGTCTCAAACTCCATGCGTAAGGATCCAAATTAGTATTTTAGCTTAATTATGTGCCAAAACACTACCATTAGGCAAGACATGCACGTTTTCCCCTGGATCCTAGGATAGAGCCACTTTTGATAAAGCATGCCATCGATAAATTCCCCAAATCATTTACCCTGAACTCAGGTAATTCGTACTTATCTTCCAATTAACTATATATATGACCATGTATATATAATCACCATGATCAAATATGAGAGGAAAGACCCTTACCTCATTTTCCCCCTTCACGTCGCCTGAGTTCCAGCAACATAAAGACATCCACCGTCTTTGCACGTAAACTTTAAGAACCATTTTTTTACATATATCGCTCCAGTTCCCTCAGTACTTCTGTTTGTCAATCGCCATCATCATCAGAGGTAGCTATCATTGTCGATCTTGGCTTCCCAATTGCGATCGACCTGTACTCCATTTAGACTGCCACCGGTCAATCTAGATTCCTTGATTGTCCCCCTCTCTCATGTGGGTTTTGGCATCCGCTTCCGGCTCTCCAAGCGATCGATGAAGCTACAACTCTCTCTCTCCCTCCCTCTCTACCGGACACTCCCTATCTCCTTTTTCCGCTGCTGCTCGTTAATTAGAAGAAGGGGTGAACATAGGGTTTTACGTTGGGGAACAATAACTGAACTTCTAATCGACGCCCTAAATTTTTAAAATTATAGCCCTAAGCTGTTCTGAACGGACGATATTGCCCCTGACAATCACAGCCCTAACCCGCCAGCCCCTCCTCCTTCTTTCGCTTCCCCGCCGCCCTTTCCCCGGCAATCAACGCCGCCCTTACCCCCATCAGTTTCGTGCCTCCTTGCTCTGCTTCCGACGAAAAGCTGCCGCCGCCCTCCGATTCCATTCTCTGCCTAGCCAGTCGGCGGCTCCGAGGCAAGAGAACCAAACCGGACGCCACGGCGCACCCAGCCACCGCGAGAAGAACGAAGGTCGAACCTCTGCCGCCGAGACTCTGCTGCCGAGCCGAGGAGGAAGGAGAAGGTCGCATCCGTCGGATTCAGTTTCGTCTTCGTCACGGCCAACCTCTGTTTCTGGCGAGCTTGAGGAGGAAGAAGGAATCCCATCACCGTATCCCTGCTAATACCAATCCCGTCGCCGGGCAAGTCATCCTATTGTCCACGATCTGCAATTGGGCTAGGGGCAAAGATGTGCATTCTTCTTCGTCCTTGAGTGGCACAACAACGGATGTGGAGTAGAGAACTTCGTCAGCTGGACAGAGTATTCCGCCGGTGGATTGGCGAAGGAAAATTAGGGCGTGGGTGGAGAACTCTTCCGGTGAATTTCATGAGCGGGAGTTTTCCTTCCGTCGGCGACGAGCTTAGCAGAATTAGAGATTAGGGCGATGGATTGACGATGCGTTTAGGCATTGGTGGTGACCGTTTTAGGAAATGGGGTAGAATCGTCTATTTGATTAATTTAGGGCGATAATTTTAAAAAGTTAGGGCGTTAATTAGTACCTCCCAACAATAATGGGGTTGGAACGTTTGGGGAATTATTGAGAGAGAGAGAGAGAGAGAGAGAGAGAGAGAGAGAGAGACGGGGAAGAGAGAGAGAGAGAGACGGGGAAGAGAGGGGCACTGATGGGGTTTGGGGTTTCTTATTATTACTTTTCCCCCTTTTAATTGCTGCTGGGTAACGTGGGGATGATGAGGAATTATATAATTAATAATAACACTAAGATTGATATCTACTATTATTATTTCTTACCCACGGATGCAATCTTTCGTACGTAATCATCGATCCAATTGTTCGGTCGAACTTAGAATCAAATGTCGGGGTGTTACATCATATTTCAAGGCTTAGAGTTGGCATCGAGGCGAAGGAACGAGATTTGGGTCGAAAGGAGCAAGTGAAGTTTGAAGTGTGCTAGAGAACAAAAATACCCGGCCATGATCAGAAATATCCGGCCGGGTATTATTTGTCGATGACCGGGAATTTGAAGCTTTGGGCGTCTTTGAGAAACAGAGAGGGGCCCGGGCAGGAGGCAAAAATCCCCGGTCGAGGATTCTTGGCCATGACCGGGGATTTTCCCCTGTCACCCGACGGTGCATTTTGCACATACCCGGTCGCCACCCAAAATACCCGACCGGGTATTTAGGCCGGGGATCGCGACAGACAGCTTCTTAAGGGAAAAGAAGGCTAAAAATCAAGGGTTTCGAGTTTTAGAGAGACAAAGCGATTCCTAGAGAGAGAAAGCGATGAACCAGAGTTCCCAAGTGCCCTAGCTTGATCTTCATCACCATTGGAGCTCGGCTTGAGCTTGGAGAAGTGCCGATCGACAACAAGGAGCAGAAATCCATCCTTCACAGTATGGTTTCCGCATCTGAATCTACTTTTGCTTCTCTCTCTATGGAGTAGTTTTCCCATTCATCTGGGTATGGAGAACTCTAGATTTGTATGTTAGGTGTGATTGTATGAACCCAAGTACAGATTTTATGATTTGATTATATTCAATTGAGGCTTGAATGATTGAATGACTTGAATCCTGATCAAGTTCCTGTTATTTCTGCTTTAGCCTAGAAAGAGAATATCTGCCTAGGTTAATAGAGCACCCTTAACTGAAGGTAGTGAATTGGAGACTTTAGTCGAGGAGCCAGTTCACTATTCTGTACCGAATTTGCTTTGGTAGTGGAGGTTTGGTTCGTTAGGGCCTCAATCTGTTTACTCCGGTGGAGGTTAGTCGCCCGCTGGGGACTCAGATTGAGAGGGTCTGGAGACCTTTAGTCGAGACTTCAGACTGTTTAAGAACCTTCCGCAGTATAACTATCATAAAAACTGAACTTGGTAATTGCAATCCGGCTTAACTGCAGTCTAGGGGGAACCATATCCGGGTGACCTCTCTCGACTTGATAACAACCGTTTAATTGCTTGCTTTACCTGTTTGCTTGTTTGAACCTGCACTAAAGTTTCACCGCTAGATAATAAGAATTCACTGAGTAGTCATCACATCTAAGACCCGGGTTGATATTAAAACCCAAACCCACTATACTACGCTTTAGGAAGTGGTTACACTTGGCCATTTTCTAGAGTGACAGTAGGAGTGAGTCACCCCCCCCCCCCCCACTTCTTGGGACGCCTCAACCATAACTTGCTCCTCAACTCCGCTCCCACCGTCTTCCATCGTCCCTTGGGGGCTTTCTCTTCAGCCTCCTGTTACTTGGCTACGTCCGTACTCGTTCGCGTTCCCCTTCCTGGCACGCCAATTGTTGAAGCCTCCTTGATCTACCGACTTCCCTTCCGCACCGTGCTCCTTGCCTTCGTGAAGCGGCCTACCCACACAGAGGTGGGCCTCGTGACCCGTTAATCCTCCAACGCTCAAGTGAGCCCTTTCCTTAGAGAGAGAAGTAATTTTCCCCAAAAAGTTTAGTGAGAGAAGCCAAATTGAGTAAATGCTTACCAACCACCCTATTTATAACTGTTAATCGCTTATCTTAGCCTTACCGTACGGGCTTCCACGTCATCATCATATTTAGCTCTTCACTCGTCTTAGGCGCCAGGTTTTGACGTTCTCAACTGCGAGACATGTGCCAGGCGCCTAGTGAGCATCAATCCACGTCATCATTTCTTTAGGCGCCCCGATCAATGTGCCCTTTCGGTCATGACCGGACGGACCTCAGACCTTATTCAACTGACCTTCCTTCGCATGCCCTTGGGCCTCTTTAGGCGGGCCTCGCTTCTTCTTGGGCTTTATTAGGACTTGCCACCCGTATCGGGCTCCTTAACACGCCATAACTTTCTCCCATCTAAACACCCCCAACAGTTTCTATTGGTTTTTTAGTTTTAACCAAACCAAAACCATTAAGTTGCTTATTGGTTTAAAACCTAAAAAACTGAAACCATTAGCTTTCCAATTGGTCTGGTTTCGGTTAAAACCAAAAATCCAAAACCAAATGGACAGCCCTAGTGGAACCTCACGATTCATGAACTTATAAATTATCAACAAGCCTAGTTTATAAGTCTTAAATACATTCATTAATTAACAGTGAGTCGAAGTGGTTCACTAATCACGAAGTCGAACAAGCTTATTAACTCAAAGTAAAACAACTCATGAATTGACCTTCACGAACCACTGAAACAAACTAATACCTAAATCTCAAGTTTTTACTCAAACCTTTAATTCTCCCTTTTATACATAGATGGGATGAAGAATTGAAGTGGGCTTGTCTTGCATTAGACCCAATTTCAAAGTAATTCTTTCCCTTTTATGGGCCATCTCCCCATCTCGTACAGGTTTAGTAAAATCACTATATCCGGAGGCTAAAAAAAGAAAGAAGCATTCCAAGCAAATTAGCCACTGGGAATATTGGGATCATGGGCCTCTCTTGGATCCTGTGTGACACAATTGAGTACACTGTTACACATAGTTCTCTTTCTTTTTTTTCTGCTCATTTTCACAAAATTTTGTAATTTAATAAATTATAATACAAAAAAGAAGAGAAAAAAGCACAATAAGGAATGATGAAAAAGTGGAAAATAGAACCAAAAAGAAAAGGAAGAGGGTGCCAAAACAGAAATCCAAACCAACAAACATAACCAAAAAAAAAAAAGTAAATAAAGGCAAATTCGTTAGATTGGAACAAAAGAAAACCAAAATAAAGTTAGCACCAAACATCAGCAGCAAAAAAAAGTGCTCCCATTTTATTTTATTATTAATCTGAAAACTCCCTTAAATTCAAACAGGAGCAGCAGAGCAGGAAGTGTAAAAAGGGAGAAGTGCTGTGTTGTTAGTAGACGAAGAAGATTGATGATGGCGATGATGATGATGATGGCGGCCAGACGAAGAACACCAACTTATTGCTCTCCCCTGTAGTTTCACCATCATCACCTTTTTCGCCCCTCCTCGTCCCTTCTTCTTCCTTCTTCATAAAACCCTTTGAATCCAAAGCTCTCCACCATTAAACCCCCCAGGTTTCAATTACAGTCATCATCATGCTTCTTCCTGCACTCTCAAAAAGTACCATCATCACCTTCATCCTTCCGTTAAATCCACCTCCCTTCTTCTCCTTCTTACCAACTACTACCCACATCTCTTTCTCATAACCGCTTCCAAAGGCAGCCATGAATCTTCCTTCACTTCTCCTTCTTCTTCTTCTTCTCCCCTTTCTCATTCTAATCCTCCCTGTTTCCCCTGCCACTCTGCGTCCCGAACTCCGAGCTCTCATTTCGATCAAATCCTCCCTCCAATCCGCTCCTCGCGCCTTCCGCGGCTGGGAAGTCGACAGCAACCCGGGCGTCTCCCAGGACCCGGTTTGGTGCTCGTGGACCGGGATCCGCTGCCGGGGCGGCCAGGTCACCAGCCTCGATCTCTCCCGCCGGAACCTCTCCGGCGCCATCCCCGCCGACATTCAGCTCCTCACCGGCTTGCTCCACCTGAATTTGAGTCGGAATTCCTTCGACGGCGTTTTCCCTTCCGCAATTTTCCGACTCACCACCCTCAGGACGCTGGACATCAGCCACAACAACTTCAATTCCACTCTGCCGCCGGGGATTTCCAAGCTCAGGTTCCTCAGAGTGTTCAATGCCTACAGCAACAGCTTCGCGGGCCCGCTTCCGAAGGAGTTCATGTACCTTCGATTCCTCGAGCAGCTGAATTTGGGAGGGAGCTACTTCGACGGAGTGATTCCCATTGGGTACGGAAGCTTCCCCCGCCTCAAGTTTCTTCATCTGGCTGGTAACGCTTTCGACGGCCCGTTGCCGCCGCAATTAGGGTTTCTGAGCCAGTTGGAGAGGATGGAAATTGGGTACAATATGTGGTCCGGCAGAGTTCCCGAGGAGTTTGCTCTGTTGAAGGAACTCCGGTACCTCGATATCTCCACTTGCAGTCTCTCCGGCGAGCTCGCGCCAGAGCTCGGGAATTTGACCCAGCTCGAGTCCTTGTTGCTCTTCAAGAACCAAATTACAGGGGAAATTCCAGAGAGTTTCGGGAACCTAAAAGCTCTGCAGGTTCTCGATTTGTCCGATAATGCTCTCACCGGAGCAATTCCAGAGGCAATCTCTTCTCTCCACGAGCTCACCAGGCTTAGCCTGATGGACAACCGGCTGACCGGCGAAATCCCGCAGGGAATCGGAGAGCTGTCGAATCTCGATACATTGTCCGTTTGGAACAACTCCCTCACCGGAGCTCTGCCGCGGAACCTCGGATCCAACGGGAAGCTGCTCTGGCTCGACGTCTCGTCGAATTACCTCAACGGAACGATTCCAGAGAGTCTCTGCTCGGGGAACAAGCTCTACAAGCTGATTCTTTTCTCCAACGGCTTCTCCGGCCCGCTGCCGGCTTCGCTAGCGAACTGCACTTCTCTGTCGAGGTTCAGAATCCAGAACAACCAGCTCACCGGCCCGATCCCTTCCGGTTTCGGGACGCTGCCGAATCTGACCTTCGTCGACCTGAGCAAAAACAATTTCTCCGGCGCAATCCCTGCCGACATCGGGAACGCGCCGGTGCTGCAGTACCTCAACGTATCGGAGAACGGATTCGGGTCGGGTTTGCCCGTCAACATATGGACCGCCCCGAACCTGCAGATCTTCTCGGCGAGCAGAAGCGGAATTATCGGGAAAATTCCCGAATTCATCGGATGCAGCAGCGTCTACAAGATCGAATTACACGGGAACTCGCTCAACGGGACAATCCCCTGGGATATCGGCCACTGCGAGAAGCTTCTCACCCTCAATTTAAGCCACAACGCGCTCACCGGAATAATCCCCTGGGAGATCTCCGCCTTACCTTCCATCACCGACGTCGACCTCTCCCACAACTTCCTCACCGGCACGATTCCGTCCAATTTCGGCAACTGCAGCACAATAGAGAGCTTCAACGTTTCCTACAACCTCCTCACCGGCCCAATCCCGGCCTCTGGCACAATTTTCCCCAACCTCCACCCTTCCTCGTTCTTCGGCAACGACGGCCTCTGCGGCGGCGCCCTCCCGAAGCCCTGCGCCGCCACTCCCGTGGCGGGGGCGATGGACGTGCGGAGGAGCCAGGAGCCGAGGAGAACCGCCGCCGGGGCGATCGTGTGGGTGATGGCCGCCGCGTTCGGGATCGGCCTGTTCGTCCTCGTCGCCACCACGCGGTGCTTCCACAACCGCCGCGCCGCCGGGCGGAGAGAAGAGCAGCGGCGGGAGATCGGCCCGTGGAAGTTGACCGCATTCCAGCGGCTCAATTTCACCGCCGACGACGTCCTGGAGTGCCTCGAGATGAGCAACAAGATCATCGGGATGGGATCCGCGGGGACCGTGTACCGAGCCGAGATGCCAGGTGGCGAGATCATAGCGGTGAAGAAGCTGTGGGGGAAGAACAAGAACAGCAGCGTGATCCGACGGCGGAGGGGCGTGGTGGCCGAGGTGGAGGTGCTGGGAAACGTGAGGCACCGCAACATCGTCCGGCTGATCGGGTGCTGCAGCAACAGGGAATGCACGATGCTGCTCTACGAGTACATGCCCAACGGCAACCTGGACGATCTGCTCCACAGCAAGGACAAAACGCACAATCTGGGCGCGGATTGGATGACGCGGTACAACATCGCGCTCGGCGTGGCGCAGGGGATCTGCTACCTGCACCACGACTGCGACCCCGTCATCGTCCACCGCGACCTCAAGCCGTCCAACATACTGTTGGACGGCGAGATGGAGGCCAGGGTCGCGGATTTCGGGGTCGCGAAGCTGATTCAGAGCGACGAGTCCATGTCGGTCATCGCCGGGTCCTATGGCTACATTGCACCAGGTTCGTTACTGTGTCTGGTTTGACTAATTTTGACTTTTTAGACACTGTTTAATTTAGGGATTAATTAGCTTAGCTCACGTCCTTGTCTGCTAAATTCTCTTTATTCTTTGGATCTCAATCCATTCTGCTGGGACACAGAGAGTGAAGTGGGACTGTCAATTTCGTTTTTAGAGTTTTCTATTCTAGTATATGATTGAACTTGAACCTATGGCTTTATCTATGGAGCTCGCTTTTTGGGCCGATTTGGACCTGGGAAGCGCTATCTCAGTGGTGGCAGCTGGTAGTTGGACCGACGTCGTTTCACTGCTGCTTGAAAAAAAAAAAGCCTGCTCAATTGGCGGGAACTGTTAACAGTGCTCATATCATACCGCACTACTGTTACGCGTGATTTTCAAGTCTCCCTTTTTCAAAAATACAAATCATTCTGTTTTTTTTTTTTTTTTTTTAACAATTTCCTTTCGGTTATGCTTTTTCCCCATAATTTCCCTTCAGTATCAAAACTGCTGGGACCCGCCACAAAAATTTCCCCTCCTCATGATCCTTCCACTCATTGCTGTTCTTGACTTCACTGCTCACAGCCTCATACTTTTGAATTTTCATGCGAAATTGTTGAATTGGCTAGGTGTTACTTATCTGTTGTTTTTCCGATCGATTTTTGTTTGAGAGTTGGATCGATTGCTATTCTTAATTGTAAATTAAACGATTTAGATGGTGTAAATACGTTACTACGAAATGAAGTTTAAATGTCTTTCTGTTCCGATTCTGATTTTAATTTTTGACAATGGTGCAGAGTACGCGTACACGTTGCAGGTGGACGAGAAGAGCGACATATACAGCTTTGGGGTGGTGTTGATGGAGCTGCTGAGCGGGAAGAGGTCGGTGGACTCGGAGTTTGGGGAAGGGAACAGCATAGTGGACTGGGTGAGGTCGAAGATAAAGGGGAAAGAAGGGTTGAACGACGTGCTGGACAGGGACGCCGGCGGGTCGATCCCGTCGGTGAGGGAGGAGATGATGCAGATGCTCAGGATCGCGTTGCTGTGCACGAGCCGGAACCCGGCGGACCGGCCGTCGATGAGGGACGTGGTGTTGATGCTGCAGGAGGCCAAGCCGAAGAGGAAGTTGCCCGGCGGCGGCGGTGGCGGGGCAGGGAGTGTGGTAGTTAGCAGCGACGCCTGCGCGGCCGCCGGCGGTGATTGTGGAGGTGGGTGTGATATTAGTAGGATTACTACTAGTAGCTGCAGTGATGATGGCGTAATAGTACAGAAGGCTTAGAGGCAATTTCTTGTTAATAGCTGCAGTAATTTTTTCTTCACTGCTTTTTTTATCCTTTTTTATGGTTTGGGGTTTTTTTTTTATATTTCTTACTTTTGAGTGTGAGAAATGGGCGATTGGTATAGGAGAGGTGATTTTTTTTAGTGGAATTTCCTTTGCTTGAGTTTCCAAATGGAATTTGCAAGAGTTTATTGCCTGTTGATTCAATTGGATGTTACAATATGGGGAGGGGAGTTAATGGTAGGGTTTGTCATCATGAGGAATGTTAATCATAGATTTGGAGTGGTAATGATTCTTATTTCTTAGTGTGGATGATGTGTGTGGTGGTTATGGGGTGGAATGTGGACCTTAGAGATCTTCCAATGGGATTCAAATTAAGATCCTGTGGAAAGATAAAAGAATAGAACCAAAACCCTAAGTCAAATTGGAGCATTATGAAAGGAAATCCCACTAAATATCTTACTAATGGATTTAAAATGCAACTAAACAAAAAAAAAAAAAGAGTATGTTATTTATCACTTAAAAAGATAAGTGAGACGACTTCACAATTCATATAGCACGGAACATTGACAAATTATCCTCTATTATGTGTGAAAGAAATGAGTGAAATCGCTTGACGAGTGAACCCCTCCATTATTTATTGTCTCACCGAGTAACCCTATATCCATATAGGCGCATTGCAAATAATCCAACTCCTAAAAAAGAATGAATAAGATCTAGTATATCATAATTAGAGGATACAGACACCTTAGAAAAAGTAAAGTCCTCGAACTACAAAGATAAACTATTCAAAAGGTGCCAATAAAACAAGATGAGAATGTCACGAGAAAACCATATTAATTAGTAACAATCACACCCCAAACATCATTAACCATAAACTCTTCCTATCGAGCTAGTAGATGTGACAAATGGATTGATAAATTGGATTGGTATATTCATGGATCAAATGGATTGGTGGATTGATCCATGGATCAAAATGGTATCCAAGTCTTGAACCAATATGTAAAATTTAAAAAAGTTAGGTGCTAAATATAAAAAAAGGTACCAAAATGTAATTTTCAAATGACATTTTTTCTTAAAAAAATTAAATTTTAGGTAGAAAATTGTAAAATATAAAAATATATAGTTACTAAACTGTAACTTGTCAAGGATTCATGGATCCACCAATCCAATTGAATTTGAATCAAATGAATTAGATTAGTTGAATTTTTAAATGGATGGATTGTATTGGTGAATTGGATTATAAATTGTGTACCGCAAGTGATGCCTTAGTGGGGATCATGAACTAGATGATCGCAAAATCCTCCGGTACAAACGAATTAGTCAGGCTAGTAAACCTGGGTTTGACATTAATGTCCACCAAAGCACGAAAAATATAACATACATTCTTAATCAAGGCAAATTAATCTTTTAAATCTGTAGTATTTTGTTATCACATGATGATAAGACAGATTAGTTTCAAGTATGAACTATGTTACAATTAATAATTTTAAACAATGAAAGGTTCCGGGCTTGTTGAACAGGGCACCCATTTGGAAAAAGAGCTACAACAACCACTTTAAGCAAGGTCAAATTTTTTGTGAAGTTCAAGAAGATGAATGATGAACCAATGTTATTGGTTCGACAGTTGTTTGTAGTTTACAAGCGAGAGAACGATGTTGGAGTCAATAAACATTTAGCTTTATTATTCGGCGGGACGCAAGGTATAGTTGGGTTGGGTCTGTTCTTGAGGAACTCATTCAGGTGTTCAGGCTTCATACTACGCTTAATGTTCGTTTTGTAAGTCGGAGTAACAATAGGGTAGCCCATTTGGTGGCTAGAAAGACCCTTATTTTGTACCCGACTACATGTCGTTTTTATTTTATTTTCAAGCCTGACTGATTTCCAGGATGTAATTATCTTTTTTCAATCAATATATCTAATTATTTTTGTAAAAAAAAATTGAATTAGAGACGAACTTACATATTTATAGAATAGAAAACCCAATACGCAAACCTAATACTACCCGAAAACCTAGTCCTACTCCGGGAGCGGATCGTGTCAGTAACTGATGGGTCAGTAACCCATTCTCTGATCTCCACATGTCAGTCCACTTTTTTATTTAAATTAAATGCGGAAGGGCAGTAAGGTAAAATGCACTTATCCCCTATTTATTGCTGACGCGCTGACTTTTGACCGACCACATCAGGACCTCCTTCTCTCTCATCGAAAAACCTTTAATTTTCCTTCTCTTAATCTTTAACGGACGATTTCTCACTCGTTTTAAGTCGAAATTTAATTTTTTTTGCATAGTTAGATCAGATTAATTATGCTCTTCAAAATGATATCCACTTTGATATTTTTTTGACACAATTTTTTTTTCCAGTTATTACCAGTCAATACCATATGGTATAGTGTGGTAATATCAATATATATTTCGTTACCACCAATACCATATGGTATAGTGTGGTAATATCACACAATACCATATGGTATAGAGTGGTAATATCAATATATATTTCGTTACCACGCAATACCATACATTACCATAGGGTATAGTGTGGTAATATCAATATATATTTCGTTACCACCCAATACCATATGGTATAGAGTCATAATATCAATATATATTATCTAAAAGGAAAAAAAACAGAAGGAGGGAGAGGGGAAAAAAACTCGTCTTCTATTTCGTCTCATTTCCTCCGCAATCAAGAACACCAAACGCCAGAAAAGGGAGAAAGACCAAAATTGAGGCCAACGAGTTGATGAAGAGACAAAAAACGCAATGAAAGAGGGTGGCTGCAAATTTTCTTCGTCGATTACTGGAGAGAAAAAAACGAAAAAAGAAGAGAAAGAAGCAGATCTAGATATGGAGAAAGAGATTGGAGAGAAAAAAAAGGAACAGAGAAAGAGAAATGATAGATTGAGAGAGAAAAAGGAAAAGAGAAAGAGAAAAGAGAGTTGCAGAGAAATTATTCTCTCTCCTCCTTTGAAAAAGCAGCCATTAAAAGTGGTCTCCTTTTTTTGAAAAAGCGGCCATTACACTTGGAATATAATAAAAATAAAAATTCATAAACGGACAAAAATGCCCTTCTGGACCCCGCATTCAGCCCAACCGCATGATTGATCCACTCCTAGATCTACGGTCCTAACGTGGTTACTCACTGGTGAGTAACAAAGGGTTACTCACCCTATCTCAAGCCTCCTACTCCGCTACCCCTTCCCTGCCGCATACAAACTCAAACCCAAAAGGAAACCGACAACGACCCACTACCCGTAAGCCCAACCCGAAAATCCACTCATCAATGAAATAGTTAAGCTATGGAGCATAGGAAAGAATGGGGTTATCATTGAAAGATATCAGACAGAAAGCTAATCGGTATGGCCAGCAAAGGAATCCCCTGCTCCTTTATTAGTTTCTTCTTCCCGAGTACCGTCCTGTAAAACAGAGTACAGTCGGCGACTGTTGAAGAATAAGCAATTTGCCCCTTTGGGGCCAACTCCGTTCAGTCTCTTTCGCACATGCATGGCAGTAGCTGCTGGCCTTAACTTTGTGACCCACAAAATAGGGGCGACAGGCGACTGTTTGGGTTCGGCTTTCGAGCTTAGCAGAGTAGCGACTCCGGCCTCTTCCTTACGTCCCATTCACTTGGTCGTGTGTGTCTCTGTTTTTCTGCAAACAAAATGTGCAGAGCTTGGCTGTTTGTGATGACGTTTTCTGGGTTTGATGGACTATTGACCTCACATTTGACTTCGTCGAAGTGGGATTTTTTTTTAGAAGGACGATTGATTATGAGAAGAAGAACAGTCTTTGAATTGGGACACATTTAATTTCGGTCTCCTATTGTGCTCTGTTTTGGTGACCCCTCAGACGCTTTAGCGTTGGGCCTTGGCCTTTACTGTTCACCATCACAAGGGTCAAGGGTACAGCTCTGTATTCTATCTAGTGATGGCGGTTCGGTAACCGAACCAAAAAAAAAAAAAAAAAAACCCCACTAAAAACCAACAACGGGATTAGTCAATTGCCTACAAATGGAAATCAAAATCAACAAATCAAAATCAACTGCTTAAATGCGTTAAGGTTTATCGGTTTATTAATGATTTTCAATTTCAAAATAAACCATCTTAGTGGGATTTATCAGTTTTTACTTTTTACCTGTGTAGTGATACTGATAAACCTTTGAGCCTGGTTCGATTTCGGTTAGAATCAAAAAGTTGAAACCGAATCGTCACCATTGCTCTGTCCCACCTAGGGATGGCAACAAAACCCAAACTCACGGGTACCCACCCGATCCAACCCGGTCAACACGGATAAAATCCGTGTTGACGGGTTTTGGGCCGGGTTTAGGTTTAAACCCGTTCACTATTCACCGGGTTGGGTTGGGTTTGGGTTTAGGTAAACCCGACCCATGGGTACCCGCTCACACCCATATAGTTAATTTTCTCGGTATATTTAATATTCTAAACAATAATCTTATTTATGTTTGTGGAGACATGTCTAATTTTTTCTTTCAAATTGTGTAGAATGAAGTTGATGTTATCGAGTGGAGAGTGAATAAACTTAATTGAAAGAAAAAAGCTTTCAATTGATCATGTTATTTATGGATAATTTGTGATTTGCTTCAATTTTCTTGAGTTTTCTAGATTGGTGTTGAACAATTTGTATAGTTAATTTGTGATTTGCTTGAATTTTCTAGAATGGTATTTTATATATGGATAATTTGTATTGAGAGATTGATATTTGACTTTAATTTTGATAGGAACTTGTTATTGTAAATTTTTTACGACAAAAACCCGTGGGTACCCATGAACCCACGGATACCCAGCGGGTTGGGTTGGGTTTGAATTTTTCAAACCCAGTGGGTTTTACCTCGGGTTTTTTTCACGGATAAACCCATGGGTTTGGGTGTGGGTTTGGCAAAACCCGACCCATTGCCATCCCTAGTCCCACCAAGACCTATTCACCACTCACCATATGCAGCAGTTCAAATCTAGCAAGCTTCTTCTCCCCCACACACTTC